GGATTCAATCTCTGGTATCAAATTAATAAATAAAATTAAAATAACAAAAATGTATTGAGATCTTGTTCACATCTTATTCATTGTCTTAATTCATCTAATCTTTAAAACATTTGATATGATAAACTGAGGCACAAAGGAAGAGATTAACATCTAAATTGCAGATTTGGATTAACTCAAAATCCTGTCTATGTCAACAGTACTGTGCTCTTGGGGAATAGAAACAGGGCAGATATCTTTGTAGTGCTAAAGAAGAGCACCCAATAGGAGACTCAGCCTCTGCTCTAGTTGGCTTTAGGATTTTAGAAACAGGACTCAAGACAGCTGTTTGGGATTTCCTGACTTGCTCAAGTCATAGATGACAGGAGAGCAAAGAGGTGGAATTCAAATTGTCTGACTTCAGGCCTTGGACAAAATCACTGGAACATAATGCAAGTCGCCCTTTGTCAAGTTACTGATTCACAGCAGTATCTTAGGAATTCTTGGGAAGATAAGTCTGTAGATACATGTACTGAAAAGGAAAAGGTAAAGCCTAAGGACAGTTGTAGACTCAAGGATCATCACAGTGGCTAGCAATGAACTTTTATTGAATGATGACTAGAGCTTCCGAGCAGGGATGAGTGCCTTTGGACTGGAGTAGATGGAGGGGCAGGGCTTGAATCTTCAACTGAGCCTCAGCCCATAGGAGGGATTTAAATAATGAAGAGTCAGTAGGAATGGATGCAAAATAGGGAAAACTTTTTCATAAAAACAAACAACAACAACAACAAAAAACAATCCCCAAACAAACAAACAAAAAGAAAACACAAGAAACCACATAAGCAGGAAAGAATAAGCCCTTATTTAGAGAAGAAAAAGTAAAGCAGAACATAGTTCACTTTAGACCATAGCCTGTCCATCCATCCATCCTTCCACCCATCCATTCATCCATCCATCCATTCTTCCATCCATTCACTCACCAAAAGCTTATTACACACCAGGTACTATATCACATCTTAAAAAACTGGAAGCATCAAAGGTAGGTTGGAGCCAGATTTTGAAGCATCTGGAATGCCAAGATCAAAAAGATGAACTTGAATTTGATGATTGTAAGCCATGAATGGTTTCCTGAGCCATGGAGAGTGATTTCAAAAATTTACTAAGGAAGAGTAGGCTGAGTAGACTGACAGAATTAGGGGCGATGAGTTGGAAAGAAAGAAGGCAGGGTGGGGGGCGGTGAGAAAATTCACGAGAGGGAATTGCCAATGTCTAGAGGCAGAAAGATGAACTTTGGATAAAAGAAAGGAGGGTAGGGAAAGACTTGGGCTTCAGAAATGTTGCACAAACACAATCCATGACCACAGGGGGACAATTGGGAAGAGCAGGCACTGGCACCAGGCCTTGGGAGAGGGGCAGGAGGAGCTTAGAAGGATGCTCTTCATAGGCTGGACATGTCTGTTCTCAAAATTGGTATCTCTACCTTTGCATCTGCTCTATATCTGACCTTGATAAATGCTTGCAACATCTTGATATCCACTGAGCAGAGATTTCATGATACAAGAGGCCAACTGTCACTGTCCCCTTGTTGCAAAGAAGCATGTTTTCCACCCAAAAATGGAACTCATTTTTTTAAGCTGCTAACCACGCTGAATTTTGAGCACATCAAATTTAAAAAGGATTAACACTTTATAGATATATAAAGTCAGGTTATTATGCAAAATGCAGGTCTTACATTTCTCTACTTTTTATAATCCCTTGATATCAGAATGCACACTAAAGCCTCAAGGAAGATTCTTGAAGTGTAGTTGCTTAGAGAAAAGGGTTATAAATCTTCCTGTTATTCTTTTTGCTAGATGGAAGGCATTATAGCTAACTCTAGATCAATGATCGAGCGTGAGAGCATGAATAAATTGACACAGAGCAATGATCCTATTGTAACCTGTGTCTCAGCCTCCTTTTGCCCTCAACTCCTTCACCAAGTCTTCTGTCAAGGAGTCGTTTCATGTTTGAACTTCAACTACTGACCTTACCCATTATTTCCGATGGGAAGTTGTGAGCAGGAAAGAGGCCAAATGATTGAGAGCAGAAAGCACAGAAAACAGCAGAGTTTCTGATAGTTCAACAAATTCTTTGATTTCAACCACTGAAGCCTGAGAGGTAAAAGTCACTGGAATGAATTGCCCTGGCCTTTTTGTGCTGGATGATGACAGTTACTTTTCCTTAACAATCACTGTATTCCTTTCATATCCTCAGAATTCTGGTGTTGGAAAGAACATCAAAAGTTCATCATGTTTCGTTTCCCACTTGCCAACAGAATTATGCCTAAACCATCCAAGATGAATCTTTGTGTGTTCTGTTCTTTAAGTCTTGGAGAATGATCATCAGCAAAATGATGGATGTCATTTGGCTGGAAACCCGCTTATAACATGTTATAGTTTTCATGATAGTTATCTGTCCACTTAGCAGTAACATTAAACATGCACACATAGGTGAATCTGGTCCAGGTAGCAACCTGATGTTCTAAAATGCAAAAGGTGAGAATTTGCAGAAAGGAAAGACTATATTCTTAGAAAACAGTACTTTCATCTCTCAGAAATTTGTCATTGTAAGAGTTGGCATAGAATGTGGGCACAGTAGGCCCATTTGAGTTAGTAAACAAATTAGCAAATAAATATTTATTACTAGAGAAATATGTGCCTGGGAAGAAATGTGGGTAACTGTTCTGGCCTTTGTGTTTCCTGAGGTTTTTGTTTTCCATGGGGGGTTGTCAGCACAGGTTCAAAGGGAACAGTAAACACTGGGCTGTATGGTAAGAAAGTAGTACTGGAATCAAATAACTTTGGGACATACCGGATTTTTCTATCTCCTCTTTGGAGTCCAGATATACATTAGCACACTAAAGGGTTTTTCCAAGTTCAGAAACAAAGGAACCTCTTTACATTGGGTAAACCTGATGTGTGATATTTGGTCTTAGAACCTTCTTTTGTACAAGACCTGTTCACCACCCACACTTTAGGAAATACAGCTCTTGGTGGTTCATTGTCCACATTTTTGTCTGAGAGAGAGATCATGTCTTTTGTTGGGGTTGTACTGGGAATTCATCCCGGGGCTTTATGCACCCTAGGCAAGTGCTCTACCACTGAACTATACCCCTGGCCCATGTCTTATTTATTTTGTATGTTAGTGCTATGTGCTGCTGGCATACAATGGGCATTCAGTAAAGACTTATGCATGTAGAAGGAAAATGATTTTGCCTGGCATGGTGGCACACCCCTGTAATCCTAGTGACTCAGGAGGCTGAGGCAGGAGAATTGCAAATGGAGACCAGCCTCAGCAATATAGCAAGGTCCTAAGCAACTTAGGGAGATTCTGTCTTAAAAAAGGGTGGGGGGGGGCGCTGGGGATGTAGCCCAGTGGTTAAACGCCACTGGGTTCAACCCTCAGTACCAAAAAAGAAAAGAAAGAAAAAGGAAATGGCTTGCATGAGATTGGTTGGGATAACCCCAATGCTGATAGAGAAAGCTGGGGCATCATGAAGGTAAAAATGAGTGGGGTTGGAGTGAGAGAGAGAAGAGTGACACAGAGGTCAAGCTCGGAATTCAAAAGTCCTCTTTTTAAACCAATGGAAAGTCAGATCTTCAGAGCCCTTGGGTCCATCTTCTTCCGTGATTACAATATTCCTTTTAAACCACCTGCATTTTCAAGCTCTCTTAAAATGCACCCAACTATGGCTGCACCTTATTCATGCTTAGTATTGATTATCAAACTGTTGGAGGAAAAAAAGTTAATTTTAAATCTTCAATGATTATTTGGAAATGTGACATGATTTACAAAGACTATCTGAAGCCCATACATCATTGCATTTGGGGATTCCAAATAATGCCATGTTCTCCCAATTTACTACTCGGTGTCTTCTGGCACATGTGATGTGTCGAGGTAGTGTCACCAGGAACTGCAAAAATACAGAACCCCAGAGATGCTCACAGATGAAAATGCAGAGAAATGTGGGAGATGTGGATAATAAGCATCTAATATTTTAGAAGAGTCTGTCTCTTGTCCTCAGATGCCCAAGGGGAAAATGCTATTCTAAAGTCTATTTCAGAGAGCTTTGGAAAAGTGCCTTCAATTGGCCACCTTATGATTTGCCCAAGTGATCAAAGGAAATTGCAAAGAGACAGAAGTCAGCAGTGTTCTCAGGATTGGCATTGTACAAACTGTGAACAAAACATTATTAGCTTCTCCCAAGACCGACAGCAATATGCTTGAGAACTATTCATTTTGACTACAGTTTCTTGTAAAGTAACATTTACCACTCTTAAAGTTCTTATTGGAGAGTAAGTGGGGAAAAAAATGCCACAGATTTGCACTGAAACTCTACTTTTGCAGCAAGAAGCTGGAGGGTCTGGGGGTTGAAGTGTTTAGCATAGCTTGGGTGATGGGCTGGCAGTCTCCATAACTAGACCTCAGCAATTACTTAGTTTTACAATTATTCCCTTTATGAAGGGTTCCGTTTTTCTTTCAAGCAGAGGTGGAATGGGTCTAAAGGAAATTTTTATGTTCATATTATGACACCAATATTTTTCTTCAATGATTATCGTGCACGTACAATGGCCTCAATTACTAAAAAACATATTTGTTGCTAAAACCATATGCTGACTTTTGTTGCTGTCAAGGAGTTTTGCTTTCAGAAGAGTAAGGGGGACCTCCCTTCCCACATGTTTTTGCATCTACTCTATTATGGAAACAAAGGGCTCTTACCTCATAGCCTATTGATATATCAAGTAATAAATGTGACAGTTACCGGTTCTATTTGCCTTATCCAGTCTTCCTGCAGAACTGAAATGTAACATGTTTCTTACTAGTAACAGATGCTTGAGCCCTTCCTTTGAAATTCCTCTGGAGAAGCTGCCCTGTTGATTCTATTAGGAGGGAAGTAGCTTTATGCAGATGTCTGCTTGTAGGGATGCATTGTTGTAATTGCTGTTCTGCGACCCCTCGCTGAGTACCATGCTTTTCTCTTGTAGGTGATGTGCCTTCAGGACTTTTTTGGTGACGATGACATTTTTATTGCATGTGGACCGGAGAAGTTCCGTTACCAGGATGATTTCTTGCTAGATGAAAGTGGTAAGGAAAAAAAAAAAAAGTTCAAAACCAGGGGAAATTTGAGGCAGCTTTCCAAAATGAGCTGTACCAGGCCAAGATTATGTCAACTCCAAAGCTACCAAATCAGTTTCAGATCCCCAACCAGCATGTCTTTCCTATATCTTGAATTTCTTTGATTTTTTTAAATATAGAAAACAGATGAAATGATAATTGGAAAGGCTAGTCATTTAGAAGAATAAATTATTAAGGGTTAATTTATAACCATTTAATATCTAGGTTGATGTTTTATAGAAAACCACTCTTGGATTTCTACATTTTTAATTGTATATTTTTTTCTCAAAATTTATAGTGGAGGGATTTGTGATCATAAAATTATTGAGTATGTTTCTAAGCTCAGCTTTCATGTGGCCTCCTTGAATTCCTAACTGAGAAAATGGTTTGGTATTCCCTTTCCTGTAAAACTTTGGAATTTGTGTGTCATTAGCATCTGTGTGAGGTATTGAGAAAAGAGGAAAGAAGTTTCCTTCCAATAATAAACTAAATGCCACCCTCTCTAATTGATAAAGAAGGGACAACCGATAAAAAGGGGAAATGAATATGAAAGGTTGTAACTTTGAGAATGATTTTTTGGTATTATGCATCATTTCTTAAATTAATATTTTTCACAGAAAAGATTATTTTAATTAAGAGACCCATCCTTGCTAATATTTAATTAGGGAAATTTTGCATTTATTGACAATTCAAATTCTGTCTAGCTGGAAGTACTTTTTGAAATGATAATGAATTTTTTTTTTGCTCCATTATCCTGAAAGAACAAATTAGTGAGCTTTTTGACAAAGTGGATGGGCAATACTTGACTGATAGGATCTGTGAAGTAATGTAGTGGTCTCACTCAAATACTGCAGACGCATGTTCACATGTAGTATCTACATTATATATATGCACAGTCATTGGCCATATGACAACATTTTGGTCAATGACGAATCACATATACATATATAAGGGTTGTTCCATATGATTATATCACTTAGTGATATCATAGTCATTCCAGTTTAAGCACATTCTATGATGTTCATACAACTAGATCACCTAATGATGCTGTTTTCCAAACATGTTCATATCATTAAGCAACACATGGCTGTATATGTATTATTAGTTGTATGCATTTAAACATTCTACAGTTGTTTCATATATAAAAATGACTTAAGCTGTGTTGGGAGGAATACAATAATTGTTCCATTATTATTAAAATTACAAATGCCCAATGAAAGTGTGTGTGTGTGTGTGTGTGTGTGTGTGTTCATTTGAAGAGATTTGTTTTGGTTCAAGGATCCTAACTGAAGAGTAGTTTGACATCTCTTGTCCTCTAAAATAAATGCATTCCATCTTTATAACTGATAGATGTGCCCTTTGAGACAAAGATGTATGTAAAATCATCACAGGTAAGGTGTCCTTATGGGGGTCTCCCTGTGCCTACGTCTACTTAAGGATAAGGCAGCTTTGTCATTGTGTAGAACAAGTGAATATTTCCAGTCAGGCAGAAGAGCTGACAGCACAGTTTTGAGAAAAATAAATGGCTTTGACTTTCAATTTAAAGAAAATAGCTGCTTCTGATAGAATGATCTGAGACCAGATGCGTTCTGAAATGAAAATCCATTTGTTGCTTTAATATAGAAAACAGACTGTCGAATGCAAACTGGAATAAAGCTTAGTTTCAAATCAGCAGAGTTGGCTATGGGTTCCCAGGCTCTCTGGTCATTATTCAGCCCTCCAGGTAGACCTAGGGCCACACTGGGGGCACCCACACAGCTAGCTAAGCTTCCCCAGTTGACATTGTGCTTTCAACTCAGGAGGTACAGCCTCCTCCTCCTGTTCACTGGCAGTGATGGGCACGGAGACTTTCTGAGAAGTACAATAGCACATTGTCAGAAAATCCTTTGCAAATTTCCCTTAGAATGCTTTCTCCTTAAGAAAAGACATGTACACGTGAGCACACATACACATGTACTTTTATACACGTGCATGTGTGTGTGCACGAGTGTGGGAACACACACACACACACACACACACCCCTCATCCTTCTTTTGTGGCTTGACTCCCTGAAAGGAAGGCTACTGCACCCCATTTTTGTGAGCACTCCGCATCCTTTCCCCTGATGAAGGTGCCCTAAACATTTCTTGGTGTGAAATCCATTCCTGAGTCACGTGTTCTCCCTCATTCTAAAAGAAGCACGTGGATATGGTGGTGGTGGTGGGGTTGGAGAGTCGGATAGGAAAAGAATCTAAATTGAGCTTTTACTTCCTTGGGTGAACTTACCCTGAAACTAAATTCACACGTTGACAACTGCAATTTTCCTGTTGCTTGTACAGCATGTTCTGGTGCTAATGTATTAAAATTCGAATCTTTTTTTTTAAGTGCTCCGAGCATGATTTAGCCCAGCTTATCTGTACTTGCTAAATGGTATTTGCAAATTGATGCTTCATTTGGCCTGTTCCATAGCCTCTTCCTCAAAGGCGTGTCAGCAGGGGGTACAGACATCTTCAGAATTATTACTCTCAGCCCTGAGCAGGGCTGCGCTTGATTTAATGGCGCCAAGAAGTGGCCTTTTGCTGAGAGGCAGCACTTTTATTTTATCTTTCAAAATTAACCCAGCTCCCAGTGAGTTGGGGATTAGCAATAATACATCCCCCTAATTATTGCTAGGAAAGCTCCTAGGGATGTAGCTTAAGGTCTTTCTAGTAAAGAGTTTTGCCATTATAGACTCATAATTCACAGGGTCACGAGGGAGCCAGATGGATATTAGAAACTGTGAGGGATCCTCTTTCCTCCCCAAAGTTTTCACATGTAGAATAAAACCCCTTCCTTGTTCTAGTTCAGAATGTAACCATTTTAGCGACATTGTCATCAATCAGTGGAGTCTTAGCACCTTCGAAATGGTGGATAGAACACTATATATAGAGACAGAGAGGCCGACAGATCCTTCCTATGCTTGGCCTGCTGTCTAATTTAGAATGATGAAACATTCTCAGGGAAAATGCCAAACTGGAGACAGGAAGCTCAACATAGTGTTGCTTAGATGTTGATGACAAACTGATGAGTTTATGATTTGTTGCCATTCAAAAGTGACAGGATTGCCTTGAGAAATGTCCACCTGACATTCATTCACTCCTTGGTGATGAGCCTGACACTGTATGTCACAGTTTGTCCACCTCCTTGTCCTCAAAGCCAATGTCCCCACACTTACTTTGCCAGTTTCTTCACCCATTCACCTCACTGCCATGGGTGGCTCACCCCTGCTGATCCCCCCCACCATCGATAGCCTTAAATATCTCTCAATCTCTCTTTACTTTTCTAAGAGCTTGATTGCTTTTATCAATCAGGTTCGAAGTGTTCTTGATTCTGATGTCAATAGGCATTATTTTAAGCTTTCATATTGTTGTTGTTGATTACATTGGTTGTTGCATTAGTGTCCTAGGGTTGCCATAACAAAGTACCATAAACTGGGTGGCTTAAAATAAGAGGAATTGGTTGAAATGAGAATCTTGAATGTTACCACCACCCCACACATACACACACACACACACACACACAAAGATAAATTTTTGGGGTGAAGAATATGCTAATTACTCTGATTGGTCATTATGCTATGTATACATATACTGAAACCTCACACTGTACCCCATAAACACATAAAATTATTATGTGTTAATTATAAATAAAAATTTTGAAATATATAAAAGAGACCACCCTAAAAATCTTTTGTCTCACAATTCTGGAGACCAAAATCCAAAATTAAGGCATGGGCAGTGGTGCAGTGGTGTGCTCCATCTGATGTCTCTGAGGCAGAATCCTTCCTAGCCTCTGCTAGTCTGGAATTTTCGAGCAGTCCTTGGCCTTCCTTGACTTGTGGCGGAATCTCTGCCTCTGTTCCAATGTGGCCCCTTTCCCTGTGGGTCGGTATGTGTGTCCAAATTTCCTTCTTCTTAGAAGGGCCCTAGCTATTAGATTTGGGCTACCATATAAACTAGAGAATATCTGCCAAGACCCTGTTTCCAGATGATTTCTCATTCACGGGTCCTGCGAGCTGGGCCTAGAACATATCTTTCTAGAGAACAAAATTCAACCTGAATTGTTGGTAGCTGTGGTGATTTTAGTTGATCTTGGATTACAAATAAACTGATTTTTGTTTTCTGTTTTGATCTGTCTTTGGGCTCTACAGTGGTAGCATTGTATTTATTGGTAGAATACATGGACAACAGAGCTGTGGCCAGGCTACGCTCCACTTCATCTGAACTTTCACAGTTAGGGCTCCTCATCTGGTAGGTCAGACAGTTTGAGAATTTCAGTAATGTAGTTGACAGTCCCTCTCTTGAAATCCCTTTGACTGAGATGAAAATGTATGGGTTGAATGGTATAGGAAGATATGTTTTTAATTGCTTGAACTACCCTGTCCAAAAGGTACTGATTTATGGATAGATGTCCGATGTTCTGGTGGAGATCTCTGTTTAAATTAATCCTTAAGGTTCCTGTAGGTAGAGACTGTATTTGTTCCCTGGGAGCCACACCACAGGGTTTTGCATGATGGAAGTCCTCTGGGAGGGGTGCTAATGTGGTTGAAGACAGAGTGAGTTTCTACAGGGATTCTAACAAGACAAATTGCATCCAAGAAGATCACATCAAATTGGTATAAACAAAATGTTGTGTTCTAGGGTTAAAAGAGAAAGGAAGGAAAAGAAAAGTCAACTCTACAATCCGATCATTCTATTTGGTTAGGAACAACTTAGTTTTCACTGAAAGACATGTGAAAATTGCTTTCAGTTGACTGCAGGTTTAGTGTGAGGTGTAATCTGGCTCATTTGCTGTGTGTATTGTACATATATCATGTATATGTTATAAAATGTTTCAGCCTCTCTGATTGAAGTTGGTGAATGTGGAATGAACCAACAAATTAAGACTAAAACTGGGGGCTGGGGCTTAGCTCAGTGGCAGAGTACTTGCCTCGCACGTGTGAAGCACAGTGC